CAAGTTAGAATTGTTTCACACTTGTAGTTACCTGTAAGGTATATGGGATTTTCGTCTCTGGAGTGCACTAATGACATCTCCTAAAGCAGAGAGTGATAGATTGATGGCTTTCCCTTCTTCAAGTCTTCTCCCCCATGCCTTTGTCTTTAGTACACGCTCACTTCCACCCAGATCAACCATCCATATTTTATTCATTTCTCTTCGTCTCTCAGGAGCATTTGAACAAGTCAGTGATATACGGATCAAGCTGTTCGGGGGGGGGGGATGAAAAAATCAAAAACTTGACTCAAATTAAAACAGCTTACTATCTGCTGATTACTGTCCATGTTCAAGATTCTGATAAGTTTTGATTGGTAAATTAATTGTTGGTTTCCTAAGCTGGGTATGACTTCTCTCAGGCCCTATTTAACTAAGTTGATGCTTTCAATTAAGAACTCCATCATGGAGTTCTATATGCTGCCTAGAATTACAATTTTCAGGGAAGGAAGTTACCAGTGAGATCTGGTTGAAGTAAGGTTGGAATTTGTAGAAGCAGTTGATCTGAACCGACTCCCCAATTTGTACAGCCTTATTGCTTGGTTAATATTACTGCGGGAATAAAGAAAACAAACTTAAAATGTTAATTAATGGGAATATAAAGTGCTATTTAAATTGTACAGTATTGTTTTTGCAACTTTCATAAGCCAGATTTATCTCTAAGCATATGGAAGCAACATAAACATAAATTCTTAAAAAACCACAGTACTGAGCCTTCTAAAAAACAGAAAACTTTTGAGTCATATCATTTCTACATCCGAGTATCAGACACAAGCACAGGTGAGTTTTTCATAGCAATCTATTTCAGAACTACGAACTTTTCCCGTTTTGTCACATGCACACATAGGAGTTCTATCTCAGGTAATTTATATTTAGGATCAGGACCAGATTATCAATTTTAAAACATACCACATAAACTAAAGGACCATGTGGCTTACATTAAAAAAAATCATCAGAATGGAGAAGTGAAGGAAACTAAAACTCACCATTTTGTAATGGGGTCTGTTGATTTGTTCATCTGAGGGACTAACAAATCCCTGAGACTACCCATGTAAATCTCAAGCATACTGAAAGTAAGGAGAAATGAGTGGCTCGTATCCTCCACCTGCTTAAAGAGTGCTTCAATTGCACGGGGTACAACACCTGGGGAATCTGGTTTACCTTCCTAAAATGTTTATGCAAAGGCTCAACAATTAGAAGTTGTAACAGTTAAATATCATTGGGTCCTCCTAAATCTTCATTACTCATTAGCTTGTCAAACTATAAAAACAAGACTCAGGCAGGTCGAYTCCATGGTTCTTATGCGTCTCTTGCCCAAATTATGATTAGTATTTCCAAATATTTTTCAACTAGAATATGATGAAWGCATGATAAAGACATTTGTTCATCCAGTAAGAGAATCCTGACCATAGTAAAGGATTTTCCAGTGCCTGTCTGCCCATATGCAAAGATGCACACATTATAGCCATCTATTACAGAYTTGATCACTGGCTCGATCTCTGAAAATACTTCATCTGAGAGCATGAAAAACAATCTGATTCAGTGAGGTATGACCACAAAAATTAAACATATGCAATTATGGTTGCAAACTGAACATCCAGATAAGCTATATATTGTCCTGATCCCATTAAAGGGGCGTTCTTTTTTCGGATTTTGAGAGGGGGGAAAGATGGTCAATGGGATTTTGGTTCCCATTGACCAAGAACCCCATGTTTTTTTTTCAGATTTATGTGGGGACCAGGGAAAGTTTATTTTCCTGGGTACCACTTACCTGTGTAAGTGATACCCATCTCCTAGGTGGGTAAATAACTTTTCCACCTAGRGGGAAAGTTGCCAACACTTGAATGGGACAAAAATGCCCCTTTTAATAATGGATTTTTATGGCTAAAATGGTCATTACCTTATTTACATGAGAAATAAAAGAACATGGGTAAATGCACTTACCCGGGTAAGTGTTTCCCAGAAAAAACTTATCCAGGTAACTACATTTACCCGGGTAAGTAACTTACCGAAAAGCGAACAGGCCCTAAGAACAATTCRTTATCATCATAATCAGAGTCTAATTGGACTGGAAGCTGGGAATTTATGTATATCATAAAAAGAAAAAGAAAACAKAGAATTTGGTGAACCGATGAAGAGCACCTTGTGATGAACCCTGGTGGAAAACCTTGTCAAAACTGTAACTTTTGTTCTTGTTGTTATCAAGTTTCAGAACCACATTACTGGAATCTGATGCCAC